TTTGTAGGAAAAACTTCAATCTTTCACGATAGATAGTCAAAAATTTTCTCGATTTTGGGGGGGGGGGCACGTAACAGATCTATAAAGTGAAAAGAAATTTTTTCACTTTTTTTAGCTGGTGGTTTTTTATATGTAAAAATTATCAAACTCACATAAACTCAAAACATATAGTAAGTTTTTGGAGGTAGAGTTTTCAAGCTTTAAAAAAAAATTCTTTTTTAAATTTAAATTTTGTTCATTTTTTAACGAAGTTTTAACGACTGCTCTTAATAGCAATACAGAAAAACGATCATTTCATTTGAACCAACCTAATATAGATGAAAAAGGAATTTAAAAATCACAAAAACAAGAGGTCTGTTTTTTATAGCTGAAGTAATATACACTTTTTTTACTCACCAGGTATAGTGACATCGAGAAGGTACGCCCTCGCTGGACTTTGACAGCCGTCGGCGTCGAAGTCGAGCAGCACCGTGCCGAGAATAGTGAAGAAGATGCCCCAAGAATGCGAGGAAGCCCTTTCAACGGATCCGGACATTACCTCCTCGGGTAGCTTCGCCGTTGTGCGATGTCCGAGTGGGATCGTCTCGTTCGTACGGACCGGAGTATCGCCGAAGACATAACCGATGTGTTCACCATTTGGCACCAAGATGAGACCTGCAAAAATGCAAAAATTCATTTGCCTCTTTTGATGTTCAAGTATATGCTATAGAAACGTCAAAAGATAGTAGATAAGAATAGTGGCAAATAAATGAAGGAAAATTAAAAATATTATCCATATTATAATCCATAAAATGAAGAGATACGAAGAAGCTTGCGACTTGCCTATGAAAACTCCCAGAGCCAATAGGAGAATGAAGGGCCGCCTCCTGCCGTATTTGAGTTTACAACGATCGCTCATGCTGCCAAGAATGGGCGTCACGAAGAAGCCCACAAGGGGACTCAATGCCCACACCAGTGTCATGTGCTGGTGATCGACGCCAATCTTGAGTAACGTCGGCGAGACGAAAGCCGTCTCCGCCGCGTATGAAAATTCAATCCCCATCACAGCTGCTGAAACTCGTACCAGTTCGGCGCGGGTCTTCTTTCTGAGATTTTTAGGAATAACAAATAGAGAAAAAAAACTGATATTTATATAGTATATTTAGTACACACAATATTACAATATATTTTTATATTAAATGTGAATGTAAATATTACTACTTTTAAAAAGTGTTCCAATTCGTATAAAAGATCTGAGAAATTTTCTAAATTACAAAATTATACAGAAAAATTTTGATGACCTGAAAAGTGTTAATCTATAGAAATTATGAAAAATTATATGAAGAATTCTAAGCAAAATTTCACCAGAAAATACACTGATATATATTCACAGCTGACTAAACGTTGAATTTTTCACCTGTAGATGTAGGAATAATCGTCCAAAGTACGTTCTAATTCGGGCGGTCCCCGTAAATGGTGTTTCAGCCCGGCCAGACCTTGATCCAGATTCAGACTGTTTTTCCATTCTTTCCACACGCTCCATCGTTCCTTGACGGTGTCGCGAACACCGTGAATCCTGCCCATGAGTCCTTCGTACTCGTGCAATTTGTCTACCATGGTCGACTCTTATCTCGCACGACACAAGGTAAACGATGTAACGATGGAGCACTCGAGTGTGTTAAGGTGCATCATTATTCAAAAAGGTGACACTGATCGAACCGTGATTTCCATATCTTTTTCTCGCGATCTATAAGCGCGTCAACTATAAAAAATATTATTATCAATCACAGACATCATCATTAAAAATAATTTCAATAGAAAACATAGCTACATAATTTAATCATAAAAGTTCCATTTTAGTTTCCTATTTATTTCAATAAATAGGAGATAAATCAATATAATAAAATAAATAAAAACGTAATTTTAATTTTTTATTGACCAACCATAATTTTATTATTTTATTTCTATCACAATGCGTAAAGCAGATTAATTTTCTTGAATTAAGAATCTCCACATCGCATTTTCCGTCGCGTTACAACTTATTTTAATTAAATATGAGTAATCCAAGCAATAAGAAATGTCACAAAGAATTTTTGATCTCAAGCGTTTCAGATCGTTGATGGGATTTTGGCAGAAATACGAGTCATTTGCGAGTCGATTGGACCACATCGCGACTCGCGTGAGAAAGCGCGGACGCAGACGGACGACGGATGACTGATCGTCGAGCGAGCACCCCCGCTGCAAGCTCGCCGCTCGGAAGCAAGCACGAAAGGTCGAGAAATGCCCGCGCAATCTCAGGAGAAGCAATCACTTTTCCTGAGATGTCTTTTGTCGAACGCTGATTCTTGACTTATCGAAATGAGCTATGCGATCAGAACAGTTCGTTGCCCATGAAATCTTCTAATTAACGTGCCAAGAATCTTCAGTTTCAAGGACGATCAAGTCGAAATATAGATCGACATTTAGGTCTGCAATTCGGAGTTGCTTCGTGAATTCGACCTGTTTCAAGAAGAAAGAGATGATTACTTTGTGTGTAATTATTGTAAGATTATATAGTAAAAAATATTTTATTTTAAAAACAGTTTACTCAAGTCTCTCTCTTTTGTTACAGTTTTGTGTTAAATTTTTAACATATTTTTAACATAATTAATTAATTAATTGTTAGAATATTACTTTCTAACATATCTTGAACTATTAAATTAACACAAAAATTTGAATGGACCATTTGGGACATTTGAAATGCGTTAATTAAATTTAACACAAATTTTCCAAATGTGTATCACAAAACAGTTTTATTCTGTAGTATCTAAAAATTTAGCTAGATACAGATCTGAAAATAATTTTGATGGACTATCAAAATGATTATGTAGAATCCTCAAGCATGATTAGATGTTGCAAAAAGTTTTGACATTCAAGCAACCAGTTGGAACGACCTACATAATTATTTTAATACTCCAAAATTATTTTTTCAGATTTGTATCTAACTTGAATTAAATTTTTAGATACTTTCACAAAATCTTCTTTTCGAATGCACGATATCGAAATATGATTCTCTTACAATTGAATAAAGGAAATATCTCTCGCAATCAATATAGCATAGCAAGAGTGATGATTTCATCTCGATGAACAAATCTTGAGAAACTCATTGGATCTTGCTATTGCATTTTTCTTTACAGTAATACCAGGAGGTTTACGCGATGTCCAATAAGAGAGGAACGTTTCGCTCTTTCTCTCCTGGCACACACAATCCGATTACTGCGTATACCAGTAAATATATCTCGGTAAATCGAGCAAACACGGACGTCTATTCATTTCGCTTTCTATGTAACTCTCTCTCTCTCTTTCGCGCGCGCGCGTACTCTCTTTTAATTTTGCACTATCTGATCCTAGTTAAATAAATAGATTAGAAGAAACAACGGTGTGAATAAGGAAATAAATAAGTTTTATGGGGGCAACAGATCGATCAATACATCGTTTATCGGCGCTAACACGCAGCTTCGACCAAGGCCATTCACGCAATGGGAGCTTCGTATGTTGTAGGTCTTCACTTATAAGGGTCGTTGATGCTCAATGCCCGATGTTACTGGCGAAGCTTTAACTCCTGCTGAATTCTCTTGAAATATCGAACACTATAAAATTGAATCTTCACCTGCACAGTTGGGAAATTTCTGTTAAATTTAACATACTTCATATGTCCCAAATGGTTCACTAAAATTCTTATGTTAATTTAATACAAGATGAATATATTAGCAAGTAACACAAATATTATGCATTAAAACCGAAAATGTTTTGATGTTAATTAGTTACATAATATTTGTGTTTACACACAATTTTTAAGTAAATTGTGGAAGCATATTTTTTCAAATCAGCCAAGTCTATTAAAAACAATTTTTTTCAAATGCTTGTTACGAATTTTGTCGACAAAAAGACATCAAATTTGATGCAAATGTTGTTATTTTTAATGATGTACATTAGCAAATTGATGGTAAATATACAACAAAATTGACTAATAAAACAACAAATTGTCAACAAAACTGTGCAAAGCTAGCTGATAATCTAACAGTAAATTGACAACAAGAATCGATCAAAACCGATGAAAACTTTCATCAGTTTTTGCTAACAATTTGTTCTCATTTTATATCAGCAAGTTTTGTCGGGTTAATATGGAAACAGTTGATGCCAATTTGCTGAATATTTTGATCGAATTTACCAGCAATTTGTAAGTCAATCGCTAACATTTTGCTGACTACATTAAAAATTAATACGTTTCATGCAATATAATTAATATTTATAATATATGTTATATTTACTAAGAAACGTCAAATATCAATTTAACACAATCACATTATGTTAAATTTACATTTGGATAATTCATATAAAAAATTCAATCTAAGAATTTTAATAAAACCAGCTTTAGCACAAATACAAAATGTTTTTATTGTTATGTGGAAGGCTCTCAAATCCTTTTTTTATCTTTACACGTGTAAAAAAATGTTCTTAATATATCGAACAAACGCGATTTTAATATCTTACTAGTAACTTCTTTATTTATGAATATAGTCTCTTCTTTTTTAAACGAGATGTTGATACGTCGTACTAAAAGCGGAAGCCTTCTCACAGAGAGAAAATAACGTCATGTAACGTTCAACGTCGATAAAAAATACAAAGAAAACTTTAGAATCCGAAATGGATGAGGATCTCGCTTTCTTCGCTGCTTGCTGCTTTGGATTTTATTCTTGGGCTTCAAATCCCTGCGCGTCATTACAAAACGTCGAGAATCAATCCACATTTTCCGTCCTCGGAAGTAATACACTTTGAGACGCAGGTTTATTTCTCCGAAGGACGGTGGGAAGCCGATTGAAACCGCCCTCTCTCGTCTCCGGCCTTTTAAAAGAACGCGGACGAATGCGGCAGGATACAATTTCCTCGCAGGAAATTACGTCCACGAGAATCCGCGCGTCAGAGGAGCGCTTCGTTAACGTGCGGTGGCTATTTTCCACGCGCTTTTAAACCGCAGGGGATCAATATTCATTGTCACCATTGCCGTTAATGTCGCCGACGGTGTTAAATACTCGAAGGGATGCACTATCATTGATGAGTTGCCAAGGGGGAAAGGTAGACGGAGAGAGGAGGGGAATTCTGTATCGTGGCCGGAAATATGAGTCCGAGGTTGCAATGAGATACAAAGATTCTGAAGAGAGACGAAACGTCGTCAGATAGTTCCGATCATGATCTGAAAATCCAGCGAGATGGACATCAATGGACCAACGGAAGAGGTGCTTTACGAGCACACATATATCTACCTGCTGTGTCGATTTGGCAGATGTCAATAGAGTTGCAATTAATTATAGTTTTCGCTTGAACCTTACTTGTTCTAATTAAGGCATCCCGGGTGTCTCGATGAGCGCCAATCGCTTCCGCAGGGCCGACGCGAAAAAACAGATCAAACCTCTTCAAGAAGTCTTTATTTATTACTGAAAATATAATAATTAGACTATATTTATCAATTTATTAAGAAGAATAATAATTGTTCAAATTATAATATATATACAAAGTATCCCAGATAATCAGACTACCCCTTTTATCTTTGTAAGATAAAGTCGAATAAAAATTATACATATATGTATTATTTATACATATATTATATACTTTATACATTTACATGTATTTTTATGTATTTATAGTTTTGTATTTATAGCTTTATTACTTGAAATTAAATTAATGTGCATAATTTTTAAATAATATTAGATCGCGCATTTCTTTTAGAAAGTTAACTATTATTGGATTCAATTTACATCGAAAAGAGAGAGGTTTCTCAATTCTTTTATAAAACTCAGAGTCTTTATCCAGAGCCTAAACAGAGAAACGACCTTTTCCATTATCTTGATATAGTGCGATTATCTTGATACGTGCTTTTATTATCGAAGAACCTATCGTGGCGCAGAAAAATCTACCGTCGACCCTGCGCGTTCCTTTGCTATTGGCCCATATTCGTCTAAATATCGCGTCGTACCCGAAGCAGTTAGGGTCGCGGCCACCGAAAGTGGTGAATGACGAGACTACTGTCACCCACGAGGAAACATCGTGTCCATTCGTCGGTTCGACGTATCTCATTCCGATTCCGAAGAGCTTCCGCGCGTTTCTCTTCAGCATCATTTCTTTAAAGAGGGTGAGAAATGTATTTGTCTCTTCATTTTTACACGATATAAAATGAGTATAAAAACAACAGTTATGTATTCAATCACAAGCAATTTGGAAGATAATTCAACATTTTGTTCGACAATACAATTCCATAACAGAATAACAAGCAACCCAGTGAACAACTAACAGTGACATCAATATTATAATTTCCTTCTCAACAATATAAATGTAATATAACACATGTACGTAACAGTTACATTGTTGAATATAGAAAATTATAACATTGCTGTTATGTTACTGTTAGTTGGTAGTTTTTTTTACTGAAAAAATTAAAATTTTGTTTTAAATTAAGTGAAAATCACTAGGAATATAACAGTACCAAAATTATCACACGGAAAAAAATGGTTTTGTTAAAGTATTTAACAATTTAGCTAGTACAAGTCTGAAAATTTAGTTGATCCAATATTAAAATGGAAAATAATTAAAATAATTATATAGAATGTGTGTGTGTGGACATATTTTAAATCTGTCAGGACAACAGTGCACTTCTATATAGCTAAATAGGAACAAGTTTTACTGTCTAAAAAGTTATTTTTTAAATACTACTTTTAACATATGGCAACCCTGATGAAAAAATTTCGCTGAAATTATTCCATGTTTTGGAACATTTCAGTGAAATTGCTGAAAATTTGCCCAAATTTCACTGAAAGTGAATTTTTCAGCTAACATAATGAAAAATCGTAGAAACTTAACTGAAATTGCTCTAAAATTTCTCTGAAATTTTTGCTGAACTTTTGCCAAAAAGTATTCAAAAATGTGAAATTTCAGCGAAATTTTTTCACCAGGGAAGATTTTTATATTATTGACGTTTATCAGCAATGTTTCGATGGAGGTGCTTAAGCGTTCTGGCACCATCCAGTTATCCAACTGGTTGCATTTTATAAAAGGATTATTAACTACCTCAGAGAGAAACATTTTTGGTACAAAATACACAAGGAATAACATGTACACCTAATGCATCTATTTTGTCGAACAATCTTAGTATATACTGAAGATGGTTAAAAAGTTAGCCGAAACATGTATAGTTAAAGTATTGTAATTGTTCTTAATTAAAAGTCAGACATAGTATTGACATTGATATACATCCCGCATTTTGTATAGCGCTATTTCCCAATAGCCATTAATTTGTGACTAGATTATAATTTATATAGAATGCTCATGCTTACTCATCATGATTGAATGTTCTACATAATTATCTTGATAGTCTCACAAAACTATTTTTAAATCTAGCTAAATTTTTAGATACTTCAGCAAAACCACTTTTTTTCGTGCACACAATAAATTGTGATACTAAAAGATATTGTGTTACAACACGACATCTATTGTGAAATCAGAGGATCAACATCGAAAGAAATACAATAAGAGCTTACCAAAGAAATCAACAATACGACAATTGAATCAGATCGAATTGAAAAGAGCTGATCTTCTTTAATCCTGAGTGCCAACAATCTCATGATTCCTCTTTTATGAGGACAATGATTTCAGTAACTGAGATTCTATTTGTATTTTCTCAAAATTACTTCATCGCATAATTAGTAATCAACGGGATTAATTAGTCACCGATGAATAAAAGAGTTCTTGCCGCGTTATCATCTTTTGCAGCCGATTAAGTCTAGACGATCGCAATCACGACATCCATCTATGTCGATAATGAGTATATCTTCGATTGGCACTTTAAATATCTATAAATATAATTATTATTAGACATATAAAAGTGTACATAAATACAGACACGCCATTCTTAAAACAATAAATATCACATACGTTACGTCATCCTCTCCAGGAGATTATAATTTAAAGGTAAATGAATCTGAAGTAAATTACGAATTAACATTTTAAGAGCCAAATTTGTGATACTACACTGAAAGAAAAATTGATTATTAAATTTTAATGAATAATTGTTTCAATAGTATAACGTTTATTTACGGGAAATAAATATTTGCTAAATAAAAAACGTATTAATTAAATCAAATTAACGGTTCTTGTACCAAATTTGATTACATTTATTAAATATTCAATTGGCACTATTCAAACAAACATTCATTAAAATTTAGTACATTTTTCTTTCATTAGAAGAGAATACTAGGAGCAAGTAAAAAGTAATTTTTTAAAGAGCAAAATTTAAGTATATCATTTTATTTTTAATTGGATTTAGATAGCATGTCTTGTCAAAATATTGTCTTCTTTAATGATTTTTTAAAAGTACAATTGAAATATAGTTACTCTAATTTTCGCCTAATTTCTTGTTTGATGGCTTTGGGAAAGAAATATAATTTATATATAGATAAATCGATATACGTCTACATGCCATTATTTTTGGACTTCGTTCTCGATTGTAATTGAAAACCGTACACGTGTTTGTCAACGAGTCTGTAATGCGTTTGTCAACATCAAATCAATCGATTCTTTTTAATCGGGATAAAATATCTCAGATAATAGTCTTGATAAAAAATATATTAGGTACCTTATTAACTATTATCTAAAGTTTTAGCTCAAAATGATTGATTTACAGTGTTTGCTATAAATTATCTTTTGTTTTACGAACCCTTTAAACTATAATACCGATAATCAACAGATGGCAATGCAAATAAAAGAATTCTAAAGAAAGAATATAAAAAAAAATATAAGCGCCTAATATTTTTGATCAATGACTCAAATATTCGCAAAAAGACCCAAACTAGTGACTCAAAAAAATCCTTTTAGATAAACTTTCATGTAAAAGACAAAATATGTTCTCTCACCAGTTTTGGCATAAAATTTTGATTTTGAATCCATCAGTGAATTGATTAAAATAAATTATAATATAACATAAGAATTTTTTTACGAGGGCTGAGTTAAAGAATATAGTGTGATATCAGGAATAAAAGGAGACGATGACTAATTGTCTTCAATTTGAAATAGGAATTTTATCACGATTAGACCTGTTCTAAAATTTTTCCGATTTGATCGATCTTTCGAGCTGATCTTTCTGAAATCTTAATCGATCTAATCACGCGGTTATATACGCACTTAAAATTTTTTTCGGCCTAATGTGAACGCGTTATCATTCGTGTAAATAGCATTAGTTGCAGATTAAATTGATCTTGTCAGGCGATTGCCTGGCGCCTTCACTTTCCGGAAAGCTGAATTGCCGACAATTATTTTGTACGTGCAGGATGACAATGCTGATGAATCGTCGTTTTCGTAAGCCTTATCACATGGAAAGTTTGAACAAAACATGGGATTAAATAGCATAGATGATGAATAGGCACAAGTAGACTACCTCTACACTTCCCTATTAGCTGTAAGCGATTGTCAGATAGTGTCGTTCGCGAAGGTTCTGTTTGCCAAGAGAGAAGTATGACAAACAAATAATACGTAAGAAATAGGGTAGAGTGGCACCTTTCACGTGCTATCGTTTTATGATTATTTAATATCGCGCCGGCGTTTCACAAATACAACTGCGAGTTATACGTTCTTCAAACATGATGTTTCAAACATTTCAAAAATATATGTCACGATTAATAAACATAATTAGATTATCGATGCAAAAGGTATGTCAAATAAAATATGTTAAGTAAAATTGAAAACAAATTTACAGCGAAGCGAAAGTGCTATCGTTTGAGGCTTTTCTTTATCTAGATAGGAATTTTTCAATCGCTTCTATTCTAACTTTACTTAAAGTTTGAAGAGAAAATTCTCCTGCATTTAATACTTTGCTCATAAAAATTTTGTAATGTCAATACAAATGAGTGAAGAAGGCCATATTCAGTCAAAGTGAATCTGGGTGTCTAATAATATTTTATATAAATTTTACAATTCAAGCTATCTATGATATGAAATTATGTTGATGACAAACGCGATACACAAAGAAAAATACATACTGTAATAATTACTTGTTTCAAGTATTTCCAAAGTTTATATATCCACAAATCTATCATAAGCATTAAATTTATTCAAAATATATTCTGAATCTTATAGTAAGTTTAATACCTCAGTCAAGATTATTAAAACAAATTCCATTTGCTTATTATATAAAGTCGCTTCTTCGATTAATTTTATATAATATTCTCCAGAATAATTCTTGTTTTGAGTACATAATAATGAGTTTTTCTAAAATTTACAATAAGTATATTTTAAAATTATTAAGAAAATATTCTTTGTTAAAGATAATATCGTTACTTAAAAGGAAGAAAGTAAATTTTTTTCTGTATAATCATCTGTATTTCATAAAGTTGTTGAAATTTCATACCAATAATTTTTTATTAATATTTCATTAAAAATGTCATAAAATTACTTGCGAAATTTTAGATTTTCTTACGTATTCTTTCTCAGCTATACCAACATTTGTTACCGTCATATCTTCGAACAAATATTCGTACTACAGTTTCTATATATCCCAATACGACATATCTTTGACATCACAGATTTGCCGTGTGACGTATCTCGATGATAATATCATTAAATACTTGAAATCAGGAATTGTCATTATCTTCTATAAACGCGTAAGGAGTTCCATTTTCACATGAATGATGTACTTTTTTCTCTTCACAGTTATTAATTAATACATATCTCAAAATATTTTCACGCTGAATGATAGAGTCATCAGAATTTGTAGCACTTCAAAATTTTTATTTATAAATTGGGGTGAATTGAACTAAAAATTTTTTAACTGTATAGTTATACAAATAGTCTAAAATTCAAACAGCTTGATAAAAATAAGTACGACCATGAATTAAAATTCATTTGAAAGTTCTTAAATTGTACTTTTTGTTATAAACTTTATTATTCAGAAACAAATTTTTATCTTGTTGGACGTCATTTCACCTCAATTTACTCAACATGCTCCGCAATTTCGATCAATGACATCGTAATCAGCACGAAATAATCCTCGAGGTATAACGCTTCGCAAAGAATTTGGTGTGAAACTGTGTAATAAATGTACATGTGATTGATGAATTCGAATAAGGAAAGGATATCGACAGATGAATTAAGAAAGTAACTCAAAAAATTATTATAAGTATTTTATACTGATTTTAAAATTTACAATTCTAAAAAATTGCCTTACACAAAATGGTGAGTGAGGGCAATTCAAAATAATGAATAAAAATGAATAATAATTTATTGCGTGATAATCGGCGAAAATATTCGTCGCAGATTTATTAACGTGCCTGATAAATAATATATTCATAATTCATGTGCAATAATAAATTAATATGACAGACAACTTTGGTATCATGTCTGATGCTGCAGATCTCTTATCTCTTATCATGACTGAAATTCGAGCAAATTAATGACGTAATAAAATATTGCGCGTATGACACATATGACACAATTTCGCGAAGGGGCATTATCTTGTGAAATTGCGACGAAATAATAACTGTCAAACAAATGATGTACTCATTAACTTCCGCGTACTCGGGTCATAAATTACGTGTTTGTGAATTGATATAAAAAATATAATAATTATTCTGTATCAGATGTACACCCTTATTACGCATACATTAAAAAATTATTGCCAAAAATTAACAGAGAAATTTTTAGGAAAAACATATATAGAATAATTAGGAAAAACATATTATGTAGAATATTACTAAATACATTTATAGCAATTAAAAAAGATCAATACAAGTCACGATGCGATAAAAAAATCCATGAAATTTGAATCCTTATTCACTTCCTTCGGTTTGAGGAATAATAATTGAACTATTATTATATAAAGATATATATCATTAACAAACAATAATTTATGTTTATTTAATTGCTTTAAATTAGCTTTAATGGAATTGTCAAAATATTTTGGTTCATGTCGGTTTTTTTTTCCGATTGTTTAAATTATCGTGAAATCTTCTTTCATACCTTTAAATCTCTCGCTTTCTTTCCTCTCGCGGATTTTATTATTTTGAGAAAAGTCGTAAGCTTTCTTGCCCCTCTTCTAATGGAGGCAGATGATATCTTATCTCGAATCAGCCTCAGACTAGCTCCGGAAGTCAAGGTACGCGATGCCATGGTCCATGATCATTCGTCTGATCGCGATCACGCAAGGAAGCAACTACTTGTTGAGCTAGCTGTTTGATCGTCCGTCTTTCTTTCCGTAGAGACGAGAACTCTGCGAAGAACGAAACTTCGCGAATACTTATATCCGTCAATTGACGCAGTTTTCCCAAGGGGGTAGCCCACATTAGGGGTGGAATTCACGGTAGCGACGCCGACGAGATATCACCTTGGGTGTTCACCGTTCACCAATGAACGCGGGGCGTCGCCCTCGTCAAGGACAACATCGCGGTAACTGCAGCAGCAGCACCAGGAAGCGACGGCACTGCGACGGCACGTCCACGAAGGAGAACTTCCGGCGCGCGAACACCTGCAGAACGTCCAGCGATTTAAGCGGCGACCATGGGTGAGTTTCAATATTTAAATAATGATTATTATTGTAAATAATATATTATCATAAAAATACTGTTGTATGCCCAGGTGAAAATTTTTCTGAGAATTATTCATATAATTTGTCAAAATTTTTATATTTTCAGAATTTTAGAATAATTTTATAACTTTTTAGAAAATTTTTCAAATTTTTTTACACACATTGGAATACTTCGCAGAAATATCAAAGAAATCTATATCTTTCCTAAAATTCTTCGTATAATATCTAATTCTGAAACATTCTAAAACTTTTCATTCTGTAATTTTTGCGATAAAATATTATAAAATAGGAAAAAGTTTTTGGTATTTTTTTAGAAATTATAGAATGCGACAATTTTTATGCTAACGATTTTTATTCCAATTGGATTAAAAATTT